AAAAAAAAAAACATAATCGCCCGAATGATAATACTTGTCTAACATTTGAAAAAATATTAGGAAAAGAATAAATTTCTCTCTCTAAAACCTCCCAAATCATATCAGAAAAAATAAAAAACAAAAAACTCGTCTTCACCTCACGTCGCTGCCTCCTTCCTCTCGGGCTCTCTGCTCGCCCAGTGCCGATCGTTACCGGTCCGCAAAGCCGGTCCCTCTTGGCATTGAGGTCCCTGCCAGGCGTTGGGCACGCCGATTTCATGGTCCCCAACGTTTTTGAGCGATTCCAGAGGTGCCAAGATGAGGCTGCGATGCGAGCTCTGATCGAATTCTCAACGCCGGTCGGAGCTGAGGTTAGGTTCCCTCTCTTTCCCCCTTCAACCGTCTCCTTGTTTTGTGTTATTGCTTGGTCGGTCAGACTTGTCGGACTTCCGGCCGCAATTGTCTAGGGGTTTTTAGTTGAGTATTGGATTTTCCATTATTTAAATCGTGTATCTCCGTCACTTGTAGTTATTTATCATTCAATTAATGATTGATAAATTTATAATTTTTGAAATACAAAAGCCGGATAATACGTTATACTGAATTACTGAGTTCGAATAGAATCAAAAAATGGAAGAGGTTGAAATTTGAAATAGTTCAAAATGCGTTGCAGAACGAGCTATAAAACAATTGATACTTTGATTCTTGCACTCAATTAGTACTAGAGCCCACTTCTTCCCCACACTACGAGTGAAAGGGAAAATGTAAAGACTACCATTAAAGCAGCCCAAGCGAGACTTACTATATCCATATTCTGTCCCCTATCTCTATAAATAGGAATGAATTGTTTCTCATTAATAATAATGGAATCGATGCCACAGAGTCAAAAAGGGATTCTGACCAAACACTATTAAAAAACCACCGGTTGAGGGGATGAGGTTGCGTTGAGTCGTTCTCCGGTTGCTGGTCCAGGGGTGGTACGTCGAGAGAAGATTGTGGACGTCTAATGCAGTTCTAGCTAGTCGTGGTTCACTAGAGTTTTTGGTTCAATATTCGGGCCGAAGTCATATCAACGTGGGCGTATATCTTTTGGTGTCGGGCCGATGCGTGTGCGGCTTGTTTGCCGGTTGGAAGGAGAGTGTTAGTCTATTTAGTATAGTTTGTGTTGTTTTATGGCGTCTGTGTTATTAATTTGTGTTGTATCTATTTTTCATGTTTTGTTTTGTGTTATTGGTGTTTCTCCTCTTGGCTGATTCTCCTTTAGTAAGAGCTTTTGTCCCATTTTGGGAGTTGTTGTGGGTGAGTTTGTGTAATCTTTCTAGGCTCTGAATCTGGGGTTCTCTCGCTAGATTCAGTTAGATAGTTGTTTGACTCTTCTACTTGTGTTTATTTGTTTATTTATAAAATCTATCGTTTCGTTAAAAAATAATAATAATAATAATAATAATAATAATAATATAATAATAATAATAATAATAATAATAATAATAATAATAATAATAATAATAATAATAAAATACTCGTCTAACAGCAGCTATCATTACCTAATTTCATCTATAAATTATTGTTATGTATCTATGGACTTGGATGAAATATTAACAGCTACTACACCCTACATTTTTCTCCTCTCGAACTTAAAGTAGATGTCACCCACTCCAACTGAGTAATGCACCCAAAGAGGTAAACATCCAAACCAACAAAAGAATGAACATTGCATAATTTTTCGCAAATTGTTCCTTGAAAATACAGTGAACAAACTAATAGCAACAGATAAGTTAGTTACAATTTCTTTCACGCAGGGCCGTAAAACTCTAGCATACACCATGTTCTGCTCGAGACATCTTTGCGATAAATGCACCATTGCCTTCTCAAGTCCCAAATAAGTCCAATCTAATATAACTCCTCACATAAATCAGCCATTTATGGAAGTAAAATGTTCTTAAACTGGACGAATAGAGAGTAGTGTGTCCAACTGTAAAATATCATCACACATTCAAGGTCTATAGGTTGGTCTTTTGTTTAACAGGTGAGACTCGCCTAGCTACTGAACGCATGGTGACAAATTCCTCGGCAGCAGAAGGGTGAATGCCAACCTAAAACATATCGAGTACATATTGTTCAAGTAGATTGTCCACTTTCCAACAATAGCCGAACTTTTTGGCTTTGTATTTGAGCCATACAGTATATTTCCTTATTCATAATCCATACTTAATAGAACAAATCCAGTATGTTAACAAAGGGCAATGCAACAACATAAGTTGAGAGAGAATTTATCGCCAAGGTACATGTATGATGTGCCCCTTCAAATTTATGTAGTTAAACTATACTTGGTTTATAACTTACTATTTTGAAAAAAAATAAAAAATTAATGTCAGAAATATGTTTGTGATTCTGGATGATTGCAGAAACATTACAACTATGCCAAATCTAAAGGATATTTTTTCTAGTTTTCCCTGAGAAAATTCAGTCAGATTAATGTAATCAAAGCAATTTGTTGTTTACCAGTACAGTTAACTTGTAAATATATACTTCAGTAAGATCAATGAGACATACCGTACTGTCAAACTGAGCTTTGGTGGCTCCACATTTGAGTGCAATAGCAATGCCCTGCAAACATGTAGCAAGTTATATATACATACATATATATACATACATACATATATAATATAGTTCACTTAGGTAATGGTCATAATTTTCATGCTCTGTTATGTCGGTTAAGACGTGTGACCCTGGAAATGTGAGTTTTTATTTGGAAAATTTCATAAAAAATTTGCTGAAGCCAAACACAACCTAGTTGTGACGCATCTAATTGTTGAAATTCATACTATTAGCACCAATGTGCGTGTTCCACTAAATTCAAGTTTTATGATTTCTCGGCAACACATTCAATACTACGCATTTGGCACAAAAAGAATGAATGGGACAGATGTATCCACATGGTATGATGCTTGAACACTGCAAACTCGCAGTTAACAATAATTAGTGGAGTACTCTGTTATGGTATCCATTAACAGGAAAAAACACTAATTTTGCTTCTCTTATAGGAACTGAACATAAATGGAAAAGAAGAATACTTTCTATGCTATCATTTAGCTTTCTCCAAATTTTCAAATATCGAAAATTTCTAAAAACGCCTAACCAGACCTTTCAAATAGCATCCTCAATCACAAACATAAGCACGGACTCATTTCCATCATGCCAGAAAATTACGACCCAAAGATTCAAAACTTCTTTGAATTTGCTATACTGCAGCCTTTTATATTTGGCATGCATAACAGGTTTCTTTAAGCTCAAAACTGAGGTTGCACTTTACATATCATTTAGCAGAGAACATATACTGAAGGTCATAACCGGGGGAAAAAAAAGTGATACCTGCATGATCTCAGGTGCATCTGGCCCACACATGGATGCTCCAAGAACTTTATCAGACACAGCATCAACAATAAGCTTCATAATCGTTTTCTCTTGTCGTCTAATGCCAAAAAATCACATTGCATCATATCACTTTCAAGATAGCCATTCAATATATTGAAAACTACTAACAGTAAATAATTTCACAGAACTGAATTGATACAGTTCAATATGCAGAATATCAAATATTCTGCAATGTGTTTGTAATTGAGCCAGCCATAGAAATAGGCTAAGCTAAATAAAGGCCTCCGTTTCTCTAAAATACTCATTCTGATAAGTCAACAGATATTATTTGAAACAGATAAAAGAATATTCCAGTAATCGTAATCGTACCCCGAAACTGTGTTCTTCATTGGATTAAATGATGATGTGAAAACTAAAATATCACCATTTGCTTGCTCTATAGCCTGTTCCTCACTAAGACCAACTACAGATAGTGGCGGTATGCTGTCAAATAACATAAAATATAATTAATTAATAATAATAATAATAATAATAATAATAATATTAAAAAAAACAACGAGTAATAAAAATAAGCATGCAGTAGAAAGATATGGAAATAACGATATAGAACCAAGAAAAGATTTGCAGTACAATTTTAATTAAAGAGAATGACTGAATACCAGAACACAGCACAAGGGATATGATCGTAATCAGGTGCAGTAGGCTGTCCACCAAAAACAGTTTTCTGCAAACAACATTAAAGAAACAAATGAGCATAGAATATCAACCAATAAAAACTAAAGTTGAGGTGAAAACTTGAAAAAAGTCATACTGCGAAGCAAGTTCCTTCCATCAGGGCAACAGGAGTTAGATTCATTCGATTTGTAACATCACCTATGGCCCATATGCTGGGAATGTTGCTGCAGGAGTATTCATTAACCTGCCGTTGCGAAGATAAGTGAACAATTGAATACCAACAATGTAACATATAACGCTACATCACATAGATGAAAATAAAAGGCAAAATGCCAATTTCTTAAAAGAAAGATGAGAACGGTGATAAATTAGATGTTCCCAAAGCCTCACAATGCACAAATTAAGGTGATCTAACTTCTTTATTCAACACATCCCGCTTAAGATGTGTACCAAAATGCAACCTTAGATTTATAGCTACCAGCACAGCCATACTTTAGCATCTAACATATGTTAGGTAAGTATGATCAACAGCTTTTTGGCTGATTCACTTATTCTCTTTTTTTTTTTTTTTTTTTTTGCTCATTTTCTGCTGCTGCTGCCAGCTGTGTCACCTCTGCTCGCCGCATGCCTTTTTAATCACTGATTGTTGTTGTTTGCTTGGTTGGATCTCCAGAATAATTTAAACAAGAATAATTGATCCATTTGATCACCAGATTAAACATCTCTAACAAAATCCACGTTTATGTGAAAGAAGAAACATGGTACGAGATTGCAAGATTATTCAGGTATGACAATCCACCTTAATAGCTCCCGTCTTATCAAGCTCAACACCTACAGATTCCAGGTTTAACCTTCCGGTGTTCGGAGCCCGACCTGTGACCAGTGAGAAAGACGGTCAACATCAGCAAAAAACTACACCTTCACAATTTATTCATGCCAAACATTAAATGGGAACAACTAGCTCACTCATATGAAATAGACAAGTTCATATCACCTGTGGCAAAGAGGACAACATCAGCCACAATTTCTTCACCATGATCAGTACGAACTTTTATACCATGTTCAGTTTTAACCAGCTGCATGACAAATTAACTTCTCAAATATCAATGTGCGTGTAATAGATGCATTTAGCAACCAGCCAACACATATTTCCAAGGTTTTCTGTTATCGGGTTTGAACTATGTGTGAAATGATTCCACTGTACGAAAAAAGTGAAAAGCACCTCAGTTAAGGTTGTTCTGGGATGTAGGTTGATACCCCTGCCTTCCAGATTTCTTGCAACCACTGCTCGCATCTCATCATCAAAGCCTCTGTGACAAGGTTTTATGTATAAAAGAATAATCAAAAATGCATCAGCTGTGTACTGAGCAAATTCGTGACCAGACAAAGAATCCTGATCTGATTCTGCACCAAGATGGAATGTATTTTGTATTTTTAACATCTTGGTGTTATTAATTTCTATTATAAGATTCAAGCATTCCAAGCTTAATTTCTTTAACTAGTTGTCTCTAGAAATCTAATCAATTTTTGGCCAAGATATCTTACAACATACATATTGCAGTAAAATAACTCTAATATCTGATAACGCACACAGTTGCTTTCTTGGAGTATTGTCATAAAATGTTATTCTAAAATCTGTTTGGAAGTAACCAGTTTCCTGATTATCGAACTTGGATCAGAATCCATTTAATCCATATTTATATGGACTCATATAAGCCAAATAAGAATCTGTTTAGGCGGTCTCATTTTATTAAACATCTACCGTGCACTAACCGATGACAAGTCCAGAGCTTTTCCATGCCGCCTAGTTTAATTCTATCCAATTATAGGTACACAACACTAATTCATACATGATGAAAGATGATAATAGCTTACAGTTTCACATTGGCAAAAACCACAACGTGTGCAACAAAAGCTGTACGAGACTCTCATTATGTGATTTTTAGGAAAACCTTTATTTCCACAGCAAGCAGCTAGGAAACAAAGGTAATGTGAATTATGACAATCGTCTCAGAAGTTTTATAACCTTAAAGGAAGTTCCTTTCTGAAACACAAATCCACTGTTGCACCCATCCCTCGCCAAATAGAAGCAAATTCAACAGCAATATACCTGCGTGTTACAGGAAAGGACAGTCAAATATCTATGTACGTAAATCAGTTATGGATGACTTGAGTCATGCAGATGAAGAAGCAACAATACCCTCCACCCAGTACAACAGCTCGCTTTGGTAACTCTTCCAAGCTCAAAGCCTCGTCAGAGGTTATGGCTAATTCCTGAATAATAATGGAAAAACAGATATACATCACAAATAAAATTAGTTAATGTACAAAAATAAAAATATTGCATGAGAAGAACACAAACTTCATCCTGCTTGGCAAACATTTAAAAAATGTGAAGGCAAAAATCTGACATCTGGTACATCACATTATTACCACAAATACTAGGAAAACTTTGTCACATTATTACCATAAAGACTAGGGAAAATATGTACAACCTGTACTTTGCGCGAATTGGGATTTTGGAACCTAAAGAATTTATTATCATAATTTGAAACCTATAATACAAAAAAACCATTTATTGCAACCTCCGAGGACCGGAATAGCCAAAATTGCCGTAAAAGGTTTGGAAAAGGTCTCGTGCGCCACACACGTGCCATTTTGAAGGGCAACAACGTCATTTGGCAATATGTTTGGGACATAATCTGTACTAACCGACATAACTCGAGCATCCTCTCCTTCTGGTATAGGGTGAACTTCATCGCATGCGGCGGAGGGAGTAGATTAATTACGCATATTAAAGAAAGAAAGAGAAACTTGAGAGAAAATGGTTTCCATACTTTTATGGCAAATTTGGCAATTCAGGTAACCACAGTTTGTGATACATTAATTTTTTTTTTTTTT